CTGGTACTGGTATGCCACCATCATTGTGATTATCATGGCCATGGCCATTGCCATGGTAGAAGTCTACGAAACCAAGCTCCCCGTATACGGTGTGTTCCTGGGTCTCATTATTCCAGCTATTTACATGATTCCATGCGGCATCATCCAGGGCATTACCAACGTTGACGCGAATCAACTCAACGTGCTCTCTGAATTCATTGGAGGATACATGTTCGAAGGTAAACCACTGGCAAACATGATCTTCAAGATTCTGTCAACCGATGTGGTTGGCCAGGGTGTCTATTTCGCCATGGATATGAAGCTAGCGCATTATCTCAAAGTACCACCGCGGACTACCTTCCTTGCGCAGGGTATTGCAACCATCTTGGGTGCACTGACGCAAGCGGGCGTGACTCTGTGGATGTTGGGTAATATCGATGGTATTTGCGAGTCAGACCAGGCGGATGGATTTTCTTGTCCCAATGGCCGGACTGTTTACTCGTCGTCGGTAATTTGGGGTCTAGTCGGACCGCGTAGGCTCTACTCGGCCGGCGAGATATACTCACCGCTACTACACTTCTTCTGGATCGGAGCGATTGCGCCGGTCATTACCTGGGCTTTGTATCGCTGTACCAGGAAGAGCTTCTGGAAGTTGATCAACTGGCCTCTAATTTTCGTGGGCACATACAATGTTCCTCCGGGTACGTTCTCAAACCCGACTATTGACTTAGTCTTTGACTAACTCCTTTTTCAATGTCTAGCAACCGGTATCAATTACTCTAGCTGGGCATTGGTCAACTTTGTCTTCAATCACGTCCTGAAGCGCCGCTTCTTCGCTTGGTGGACTAAGTACAATTATGTCTTAGCTGCCGCGCTAGACACTGGTCTCGCGCTGAGTGGTATTGTTATCTTCTTCTGCATCTCGTATCCTGGAGCGTCTTTCCCAGATTGGTGGGGGAATACGGTCTACTTGAACACTGCAGATGGTCAGGGTCTTGCATACAAGGCTATGCCGGAGGCAGGATTCTTTGGGCCTGCTAATGGAACATGGACTTAATAGCGATTACACAGTGATTTGAGTCAGACATATCCTGGACCTCTGGATTTGCAATCTATCTCGTTAAAGTTTGACATGTCCCTCTCAGTGCAGTTGGAAAGAGCGTTGGAATCAAGTGAGCCACGTGTCGTGCACGAATGCGAAGAACAAACCAGTGGGCTGTATCATTCCTGTCTCGTTAGTGAGAGGCATAGGAGCCGATCATGTTGTCTCGGCTCTTGTAATGATTGTTTAATGAGAGCATTGTCAACATTTAATTTTGAAACTATACATTCAATAGTCTGAAAATAAGTACCAGGACATGATCAAAAGCCGCAAGTACAAAACGGATATCATCACTCGTAAACCCTATGCTCCAGTAATCCACCCTGAAAATGCTAAGCAAGGACCGAATCCTACAAACAAGACGAACAATAAAACAATCCACTTCTTACAGCTCCTCGAAGGCAATGTTGGGGTGCAGCACGTAAAGAACCTTGTCGCCCTCGCCGTCCTGCTGGGTCGTGGAAGTCTCGTCTTCAAGGCTTGATGTAATGCGCAGAAGCATACCCTCACGGACCATGCGCTTGATAACCTTGGTGCATAGGTCGCGCTCGCGAGATAGATCCTCCTGGGTATTCAGCTCGTTTTCGATCTCTTCCAGGTACCAGACGATAAGATCTTCCTGCTCTACACCTTCACCCTGGTTGACCTCATCCTCCCTGATGCGCTGGACGACATAGTTGAGAATCTTCGCGTACTTCTCGTAGGTGATCTTGGTCTTCTGTCGCTCGGGCTTCGCGACGGGCGGTGCCTCTTCACCATCATCGCGCATGGGGCTGTCACCCTCACGGTCGCGATCAGCCATTTCTTCGTCTTCGTCGGCGTTGCGGCGAGAAGCAGGAACGACATCATCGTCAAACTCAACGTCATCCTTCTCTACAGTCACAATGCTCTGCTTCAGAAGGTCGTAGGCCTCGTTGACAAACTTGGGAGTGACTTCCTCCACGCAGTTCACCTTGGCGACAGCCTCGGACAGACGGATCAGCGACTCCAGCTGACGAACAGTAATGCGGTATGAGCTACGACCAATGCCTCCTTGCGCGTCGTTTGCACGGAGTTCCTTGTATCTCTGGACAAGCAGCGCCTTCGCCTCCTCAGTGAAGGTTGGCTTGAATGTTCGGGCGAACTGAATGTAGCGCTGCAGCTGTTCAGTGCTAAACTCTGGCTGGACGGCCTCGTCGCGGTTCATATGGACGTTGATAATGTGATCCGCCAACTTGCGGTCAACGTGCTCCTTAGGGTCGTCGCGAATGATGAAGAAAACGTCGAACCGACTCATAATGGGTGCACTGAAGTTCAAATTCTGTCGCAAAGTCAACTTGGGGTTGTAACGGCCACCGATGGGGTTGGCCGCAGCGAGAATGGAGGCACGGGCGTTGAGGGTAGTGTGAATGCCAGCCTTGGCGATAGAGATGGTTTGCTGTTCCATTGCTTCGTGAATGGCAACTTGGTCTGCAATGTCCATCTTATCGAACTCGTCGATAGCACAAATACCTCCACCATTCTAGATAGGCTGTTAGCTAAGAAGCTGACAAGGGAGGAGCGTTACACGTACAGCAAGCATCAGCGCACCGGCCTCGATAGTAAACTCGCCCGTCTCGGCATCCTTTACGACCGAGGCAGTCAAACCGGCAGCAGATGAAGCCTTACCACTGGTGTAGACTGCACGGGGGTGCAGGGAGCAAATGTACCTAGAAAGGAGATTGTTAGCAAGTCCGACTATAGACATCTACAAATGCGGCTTTGACTCACTTCAAGAACTGACTCTTACTGGTAGATGGATCACCAACGATACACAAGTTGATGTCACCACGCAGCTGCAGGCTCTCCTGCTGAGTCTTTTTGCTGACACCACCAACCAATTGCAACAGCAGACCCTTCTTGACCTGGCGATGGCCCCAAATCATAGGGGCAAGGGAATCCACCAATCGTCCATAAATGTACTCCGAGTGCACCAGTCTCTTCAAGTCCTCGACCTCAGTTGCGCTCAAGCTGTTCAAGAACGCCTCTTGGGCCTTCTCATCATTCGTTTCTGGGTCCAGATTCTGGTTCAACGAAGCTAAGATATTATTGGCCTGTCCACTGAGCTGCTGCTCTGGCTTCTGGCCCGGTGTCGAGGTATCGGGGGTAACCATGCAGGACAGGAAGGCGAGGCGGTAGGTCAGATCACGGACACCGAGCGCCTTCAAGCCGGACACGCCACCGCCACCAACTTCGCTGCCACGGAACGAGCTGTTGTCCCGAACGGCCTCAGGGCGCACACCAGGCAGACCCAATTGGCTGACATCAGGAACGACGATCAAAGTACCGGTGAAAATGCAACGCTCGCCAGCCTTGGCGCGATCGACCATCTCACCTCGCAGGATGATATCCATCGTACGGGGCATGCTGCCGGTAGGAATCTCATGAGAAGACTCCTGGAGCTTGACCTTCTGCCAGTCAACGAAGGTGCTCTTGCCGATATCCAGACGCCAGCCAAAGCGGTTACCACAGACTGCGTTAGGGCATTCGGTGGGCTCGGTGTACTTGAAAGTTTGCTCAACGTTGGGCACGACCGTTCTGCAGCCCTCACAAATGAATGTTCCCAGCGACAACTCGGGCCGAATTTCGGAGGTTCGTGTGACAGTTCCAGAGACGGAGAGTAGCCGACCAATTTGTTTGGTACGCAGCTGGCGGAGCCGAGACACCAGCGGCAGGTTGTAGAAAGCAAGCGCGAACAGCTTATCGGTCTGCTGATGGCGGGTCTTTTCACGGATCTGACGTTCAAGGTCAGGGTTGTCGTTTACGCTGGCATAGGCGGATGCGACCGAGGTACTGTGTTGGGAGGAAGCGCTCGAGGCGAGCCGGTGGGAAACGAAGTATTCAGGCTCATACTTGGCAACCAGGTTGTGGAGACCCTTGGTGAGGAAGGGGAGGAATCGATAGTATTGCTCGGCAATGGCATCGGCCAGAATGGGGTTGTGCCACTTGGCCAGATGGTTGAAATCCACGTAGAGCGTAGATAGCTCAAACTTCTTCAAGCCCTTGATCTGGGCGATGTAGTACTTGTCACTCAACATTTCACCCGACGAGGGTGGTGCTGATGAAGAGGTATCCATGATGAACGTTTCCAGCAGCTCCTCAAATTCGGCTCGCACTCTTTCTCCAGCCTCATCCACCACGGGAGCAGGTCCCGGGGCGTAGGGATTCCGTAACCGATTAACGGCAGACGTACTGGCCCCGACCACTCGGTCGTCGGGGAAGGCATTCATATCGCTCATGGGACCATTGCTCTCCGAACGTCGAGAGCTCGGTAGGTTATCTGAGCGGATGTTGTCACGGGCGCCAGACCCTGAGCCTCCCAGCTCCGACTGGAGAACGGCATCGACGAGACTAGACATGGTATTGAGAGCTTCTGGCCGGAAAAATGGCCGTAATAGAAGAAATGAGCTCTCACGGATACCAAGAGGGAGGAGGTGGTTGATCGAGATTGATGATCGGACGGAGATGGCAATACACACACAAAGGGGGGGGGTTGCTCTTTTTTCGCAGGGACGCGAACACGCGAGACGCGTCTCCGGAATAATGTATTATCCGACGAGGGACGCGTTAAGTGGTTTTTCGGAACTCCAGAAAGTCCTGACTCAGCAGGATCCGTTTCATCGGGACTTCTACTCCCAAGAAACTTTGCGCTAGGCCCAAACAGGAAGCAGTAGATTATATCATCCAGGCTGCTCGCGGCAGCCACTGGACGCTAAACCCAATCGAGGCATTAGTCTCCCCTTCCTTTGCAGGTGACTCGCAGCCACTCGCAGCCATTTGCAGTGGCTCCCGTCGAAACTGGTCAAAGGTGGCCCCAAACTTGCCCAAAGCTGGGCAAAGGTTCAGCGCTCAGCCCGTCGCCGAAGTCACCAAGGTTTTGCTGCCTTCTCCCGAATGAACGCCGACCATTTGACTCCCCTTGACTCCTAGCAGGGCAGCTCGTTTAGGGCTCTGTTTCCCCCCCGGCCAGTCAGATTCTCGGGATGACTCTTTCATTTCCCCCCCCCCCCCCCTTCCCCTCGCTCTCGCCCTCGCCCTTGTGCCTTGTTGAGGGAAAAAAAACAATGGTCGCACTACTGTAAAGCCAGAGATGAGGCGCTCCACTTTTCTCCGGGGTTTAACCAGTTTCACCAGGCCCTTCAGCCAGTTTGGGTAATACCTAAAGCATCCGGCACACCTCGTCTTCTCGGTGGACGAACTCTACACATCAACTCCTGAATGCCAACTCTCTCTCTTCTCTCACCCTGTGCAGGATATTGAGCTGGTCTAAGGGTTTCCTCTTCTTATCGCCCGTTCCGATCTCCCCGATCCTTCGGACAGGCGGATGAATCGAATACGATCAACTTGTGATCAGCTGTTTTCGCCTTGCATTGCGGGTTGAGTATCATTGTCATCTGCCTAATCTAACGTCACCTTCCCCTCCTATCACCCTGCCTTGGGCACCAGCAAATTGATTCCGGACCCTTCGCCCCGTCTGACTGGTCGCATCAGAGGCCTGCGATGGTTCTGTCCAAATCCCGACACACAGGCTGGAGGAATATTGGTGACTGCCGGCGCGGTATGCAGCTGTAGTCGTTGAATTGCGTCGAGACCACCACTGCCTTATCTCGCAATCATGTCTAGCAACGGACCAAGGCCGGTGGATTCGACGCGGACCCCTCCAACCATTGGGCCTTCGGCGTCGTCGAAACCGGATGTTCCGGGTACGTGATAGCCTTCCCTCCACATCAGACCGCTCAACACAATCCACCTCTGTTGGCCATGGCAGCTTATATTTCAATTCCTTCGCAGGGCCCTCCAGCAGTGGCGATCCAAATGCAAAGTCGAGACGACGCCGGCGCGGCGCTGACCCGGAATCTCAACCCAAGAACCAGTCATTCTACTTTGTTGACTCAACCTCGTCCTCGAAGGAGAAGCGGGCACATGTGATGCGACATCATGTTCAGGAGAAAAGGAAACACCGCAAACTTTCACATGGAAACCTGCAACTAGAACAAGCCCAAGAACCAACTGCCTGGCCAGTCAGGACTGATTCGGGTTATGACACGGGCAATGCTAAGGAGGCGGCCATGATCGGTGTCCCGGGGCCTGCTGTTAAGCAGGAATCATCGGTATGACAGTTCTAATTCACCCCCTGTTTCCTCTGCTGTTTCTATTGGGAGAAATCAATCACGGGATTTTGAAGAAGCAATATACTGACAAGGCGACTTCCTTAAGCTTCAGATCCGGTTTTCGACTGTGAAGCCATATACCCGAGAAACAGTACCGTTACAAATGGAATCACCCATGACGATGCTCGATGCATCGCGAAGGGATCCCTTCTCCAGCTTACCGATAGTTCATAACCCTGAAGATATGGAGTTGGTGGATTACTGGACGACCAAATTGACCTACTGGTCCGGCCAGAACCCTTATGTGAAAAACCGAATCTTTCGAACGGCCATGGATCATCCCTTTTCCTTCCAAGCCGTGGTTCTTGTATACTGTGCAAGATGGAAAGCCCAGCTGTATGGGCAACCCGATTCCAAGGAAGTCCAACGACATGTCGGACAGGCTAGAAAGAATATTGAAGACGCTACGGCGGGCCTGTTGCAGGTGCACGACGACCAATTAGCCATGGCGCTGGCAGGCATGGCCCTGTCGGAGGAGCGATTCGGAAGTAGCCAAGATGCCCACGCATTCCTTCAGCATGCCGTCCAAATCATGCGCCGACATCCTGGATCAAACCCTCCCATCGAAGTCTTTGTTCATTACGTGCGGTACATATTACCGTCGCAATCTCCAACTTTAACCCCCGCCGACCAACGCTGGCTGGTGACATTCCTGCATGGAGCACAAGACCTCATGCAAAGGCACAGTGCCCCCGAATATCAACCCCAATCATCGCATCGACGCACCGCATTCCAGATGGAGAGCCCACTATTCTCCCTCCTCTCCAGCGGACCCCGACCCTCGCAGGTACCACAGGCATCACGAATTTACGTGGTCCGCGATGCGCCAACCCAGGAGGTCAGCCGGTCGGCCTCGCTTATCTACATCACGGCCGCATTGTGGGACTTTAGAGATTCGATCAATCAGACTCATCGATTCCTGGTATACCTGACCTCGCTGGTCGAGCAGCACCAGCTTGACCGACAGCCTGCTTGCGAGACGCTACTATGGCTGTTGCTGGAGCAAGCGTGTGATGCAGACTTGCGAGACTCTGAACGGCCCTGGTCGACCGGTGCACTGCTTCGGGCACATAGGCAGCTGCGGCCGGATCTGCAGTTTTATTTCAATGAGCTTTTGATGACCTTTTTATCGCTACAGCCGCCCATTCGAGGTGTTGATGTATTTGAGGCTGATCTCAAAGCTAGTCTTGAGGGTAATAGTAGCATTACTTAACACCAATAGTATAATTTCGATTTGTTGTCATAAATAACGTTTATTTTTATGAATTGACTTAAGGTTGCACAATCATCGTTCATGCCACGGCTAGTATTGATCGAGTCGTCCACGTCTTTGGTTCCTACACATACATATCGGGAGACAGGTTTTGCTTTCGTGCGTGGTCCCGTCAAGTGGATGGAGTAGGTAATATGGACTCTTCGATGAGGATCCCTAGGTACTCAAGGCTGGTACTAGGTGGTATCCCATCCTCGTTGAATAGCTAAACTTGAATTAAACTAAAGCAAGTATAGTAAACCGCCTACCGGCACACCTCACATTTGACTTCTAACTCTAGGTTCATCATGACGCAACCTTAATGATCTCAGGATTGTATTTGGTGTCAAGAGTTTTTCCGTCTTTGACTGCTCTCTGGATGATCTTCGGCAAGTGAGATCTAAGTGACCGCGAATATCCATGCCAAATAGGTTGACGATTTAATGCTCAGCCGCAAAAGTTTGGGAATATACACCGACTCATGAGCGGTCTGACGACGACGAATTATCATATTTCCACATATGGATATCTACGTAAACACTCATAACGAGTCAAAACTTCATCCAAATGCATTTGACTCACACGATCCACCGACGCAAACGGCATTCGCGTCAGGCACGAGGTTGGGCCTGTGCCTCGAAAGTCCCGGGCAACAACGTGAGCCGGGCTTGGCAGCCCCGAGAACCTGGATATCGCGAGTATAAGCGTCATCGAGGGTGGAGACAATATCGCTAAACTTGTCTAAGCCTGCAAGTATGTTACTCTACTGCGAGGGTTGGTTCTCAGCAGTTTGAGGCAAAGAAAGGTAAAAAGAAAAAAATCGATATCAGATAGGAGTATGGAAAAAAAAGAATGGGTAATTTGGTGGCTAATCCACTGTCAGCCTCAGTGGGTGATTGCGGTCGCAAGTTCGCGAGAACTGAACTTTTAGGGTGGAGACCCGGTGCCGACAAGGCAATGTTCTCCGAAGTTACTTTTCGCTTTAAGCTGTATGGTCGGGTACCTCGAGGTATCTGATAAAGTATCTGAATGTGTGTCCCTCTCTGGACCGCTGCGTTCTACAGTACGCTATTATGACATCCACTATGGTGCGTCGTACATGGCATGATGGCCATGGCTCACATTATTACTCGAGTTAGCGATCAGCCCTGAACGACGAATGATGAACGCATGAACGATTGGGGAATCCGTGGAATGGGGAGGATGTGAGATCCTATTCATTGGACGAAATCAGCAAAAAGGATCGCCGATCCCCACGAGCTGAGTTAGCCTGACGACAGGACTGCGTCGGCTGGTCCGTGGGCTCTAGCACTTCATTCCTGTGCTTTCGAACTTTAGCAGGAAATGCCGATGCTCCACCAAACTCAATTAGCTGCAGTAGTCCGGAGAAATGGAGGACAAGGTGCAAATAACGGGTTCTGCGTTGAATATTCCATACATAACGGAGTACTCCGTACTTCACACTGTAGTCCACCGCATGGAATTTCCCTACGAGAGAAGGATTTCAGCGAAAAAAAAAAAAAAAAAAATTGTTTATCTTCCGACCGGACCATATCTTCCGATTCGACTTGGTGTTCCGATGGCCCAGCCACAAACCCATGGCTAGGTTGAATAGTGCAGCCCACTAGCAGCTGATAGTGCTGCTAGCGCCGCCAACCCGCCCGATCGATTGGGTCCAACACAGCGGTGCATGGCCATCGTAGCAAGCCTATTTGACATTAGGGCAGAAATATCCTCAACCTTGATCAGGAGAGGCTCTCGTCGGCGATCCCTTTGGTGCACATCTTTGTTTCTGGCGACGGTGATCATTTGTGCACCATTGAAACCTTGGTCGTTGATGGACCGGCAGTAGTGGGTTGCCTGCTCATACACAGTTTGATCGCCAGTCGAAAGAGGATCAACCAGGTATATGATCATCACATGGGCAAAGGGGAATTGTTCGGCTTGGACGCTCGGCAATAATGGACTTGCTTGGAAGACCACGCCGTCGGCAGCTATGTACTGTATGGGCTGTGGCTTCGTATCATTGTCCCTTTGTTTTGTTTGTTTGTGCAGCTCCCTGATACACGAATGATTCAAAGGTGATGCGGTGGCGAAACCAAACCCCGGCCCCTGGATTCCGTCAGTACCAGAAGCTGGCCGAGTTGGTCTGGGGTTAGACTACGCAGGGCGCGCTTGGACGAAGTCACTTTGGCTCATTACTTGTTGCAATTTGAAGGTTAGCAGCGGTCCACTCACTGATTTTTTGGCTTCTTGGCCGATATGCATCCCTTGCCATTAATCAGAGTGCCTCAGTCGCCAATCGACCGGGTTTCCCTCGATGGAGACTCGACGGTGTGGCTAGTGTGGCGGTGCGTGAATGGGTCGGGCTTGTCCGAGCTTCCCTTGCTGCTGGAAAACAGTCCTGAGGCTGTGCAGTACTGCATTTTCAAGTTTCATCCAGGGCAGATTGGCAATGTGACGTGGTTCAATGGCCTCTGTTGCCTCTAGGTTGTACTGTAGTTAGTATGGAGCTTCCTAGTTCTCTGGAGATCTCATCGAGTCATTGACCCAGTGTGAACCAAAGGAAACGGGACGATCGCAGACACCAGCAGCCAGAACCAAAGAACCAACGCGGGCGCAAATCTGGATCCGATCGCTGACTCGCCACCAGCCATCAAGTGGAGCTCTACCAGGGGGCCGAGGAAAAGTAGAAAAGTAGTAAATCAACTGAGCGCTAATGAGCAGGGGAAGCTCTCTGCCAAAATGAAACCCCCCCTGTAAAGCCCGTGAGATCGAACCAGTTATCGTGGATAAAATAAAAATAAAAAATTGAGGAAAAGAAAAACTGGAAATTACGTAGGGCCAAGATCACCGATCAGTCACCCACCGATGCCCCTCCCCTTCTAAAGCTTAAGCCTTCTGCCTTTTTCTTTTCTGTTTTTCGATCTCTCCTTTATCCACCCTCACAACAACATAGTCGGCGTCCGACTGTCGATTTCATTCCACGTGCAGCAAATCGTCTCTCCACGCCGGAGACGTTTTCTCGACTTTCGAATCTCGCCTCACAGCGACCTTCAATATGGCGGACCAGGCAGGTGGTGCATGGCACCAGCTGTTGGCCCGGGCCTCCAGCGTATGCGCCGTCTACCTTTTGACCACTTCTCCTTCCGCCCGCTGTGACGAGGAAGGTGGGCGCATTGATTCTGTTCGCGATGCTAACGTGTCTTCATAGTCGGATGTCTCGTCGACATCTAGCTCGGCGTCCGCGTTCCTGACCACCTTGATTCCGGCCCTGATCACCTTCGCAGTCATGGTCGTGCTCTTTATCATCCTGCGTCGTAGTCAGCACAGAATGTACATGCCTCGTACCTATATCGGCAGCTTGAAGCCCTCGCAGCGCACCCCGGAAAGCCCAACGGGTCTATGGAACTGGATCACCGCCATGTACAAGCTACCCGACACCTACGTCCTGCAGCACCACTCGATGGACGCGTATCTGCTGCTGCGCTTCCTGAAACTGATCTCGGTCCTGATGTTCGTCGGCTGCGTCGTCACCTGGCCTATTCTCTTCCCGGTCAATGCGACTGGTGGTGCAGGTGGTGAGCAATTGAACCTGCTCAGCATCTCCAACATCCAGAGTTCTCAGTATGGCCGTTACTATGCTCACTGCTTCCTCGCGTGGATCTTTGTCGGTAAGACTTCGAGAATTGGGACTGCGTTGCCTGATACCTCGAGCTTCATTGGAGCTATTCGAAGGTAGACTACGAAGTAGAGGGCTAATCATACTTTTTGCAGGAATTGTGTTCTTCACCATCACTCGTGAGCACCTGTTCTACATCAACCTGCGCCAGGCTTATCTCTACTCCCCCGCGTACGCCAGCCGCATTTCGTCGCGCACTGTTCTCTTCACCGCCGTGACTCAGGACTACCTGAGCAAGGAGAAGATCCTCGCCATGTTCGGCCGCGAGAAGGTGAAGAACGTCTGGCTTGCCACCGACGCTGCCGAGCTGGAGGAGAAGGTCAAGGAGCGCGACAGCGCTGCTATGAAGCTCGAGGGTGCTGAGACCAAGCTCATCAAGTTGGCCAACAAGGCCCGCAACAAGCAATTGAAGAAGGAGGGAGCTTTGGAGGACGGCCACACCGAGGAGGAGGAGGGTGTTGGCCAATTCGACGACGAGTCTGGCTCCGTGGCTGCTCGCTGGGTCCAGGCCAAGGACCGTCCCACCCATCGTCTCAAGTTCCTGATTGGCAAGAAGGTCGACACCATTAACTGGGCTCGCTCCGAGATCGAGCGCCTCAATCCCGAGATTGAGGAGCTGCAGGCTAAGCACCGAGCTCACGATGTGAAGCTCGTTTCCTCCGTCTTTGTCGAGTTCTACCAGCAGTCCGATGCCCAGGCTGCGTTCCAGTCCGTTGCTCACAACCTGCCTCTCCACATGTCCCCTCGCTACATCGGCCTCGACCCCACCCAAGTCATCTGGGCTAATCTGCGCATCAAGTGGTGGGAGCGCATAATCCGCCACGCTGCCACCATTGCCTTTGTCACTGCTATGATTATCTTCTGGGCTATCCCCACCGCCGCCGTGGGTGCCATTTCCAACATTGATGCCCTGACCGACAAGGTGCCCTGGTTGAAGTTCATCCTGAGCGTCCCCAGCTGGATCCGTGGTGTCATCACCGGTCTTCTGCCTGTCGTTCTTATGTCCATTCTGATGGCCTTGGTCCCTATCATCCTCCGTATCATGGCCAAGTGGGGAGGTGACCCTAGCCTCGCCGCCGTTGAGATGACTGTCCAGAACACGTACTTTGCTTTCCAGGTCGTGCAGGTCTTCCTGGTCGTGACTATCGCCTCGGCTGCTACTAGCGTCGTCACTGCCATCATCAACAACCCTTCGTCTGCTGCTAGCCTGTTGGCTGAGAAGATCCCTCTGGCCTCGAATTTCTATGTCTCCTACATCGTTCTCCAAGGTCTGTCTTTCAGTGCCGGTGCCCTGCTCCAGATTGCTGGCCTCATCGTCGGTAAGATCCTGGGCAAGCTCCTCGACAGCACCCCCCGCAAGATGTACAAACGCTGGTCCAACCTGGCCGGTCTTGGCTGGGGTACCGTCTACCCGGCTTTCACCCTGTTGGCCGTCATCGGTATCATCTACTCTTGCATTGCTCCTCTGGTCATGGGCTTCGCCACCATCGGCTTGTATCTCTTCTACTTCGCTTTCCGGTACAATATGCTGTACGTCTCCAATGCTACCATTGACTGCCAGGGTCGCGGCTATACCCGCGCTCTGCAGCACCTCACCGTTGGTTGCTACCTGCTCATTATCTGCCTGATCGGCCTGTTTGCGATGGGCACTGGTGCTAACCGCATGGCGCTGGGCCCTCTGATCCTTATGATCATCTTCCTAATCTTCACCGTTCTCTACCACGTTTCCATGAACAGCGCCATGGAGCCGCTCCTTAACTACCTGCCCAAGAACCTCGAGCACGAGGAGGAAGCTCTCCTCGCTCAGGAGCGCAAGCACGTCGACGGGTCTTCCGACGGCCTGGCCGGCGCCTCCGCCGTCAAGGCCGAGAACAACGGCGTGTCCAATGTTGACTCTGCTGTTGGTGGCGTTGATTCTGCTGATGCCGAGAAGGGTTTCGCCGACGGTCCTCTTCCTACCGGACAGCAGAAGCCGCCCAACGCCATCGTCAAGTGGCTGCGCCCAGACAAGTACCATAACTACGAGGCTCTCCGCCGCCTCGTCCCCAGCGCGCTGGATGCTACCACCTATTCTCCCGAGGTCGAGCGTGACGCCTACTGCCACCCTGCCGTCAACTCTCAGGTCCCGCTTCTCTGGATTCCCCGCGACCCCGCCGGTGTCAGCCGACAGGAGGTTGCCCACACTTCCCGTGTCATCCCCATCACCGACGAGGACGCTTGGCTTGACAACAAGGGTAAGATCTCCTGGGACGTCGACAAGGGCCAGCCGCCCATCTACGAGGAGAAGCCCGACTATTAAAGTTGGTCATGGGCGCTTAATAGCCTCCATCCCTCCTTTTGTAAGCAGTTGCACTCAACGCACGTACTACGGTAATAGAGTCCAGATCTGATTCGACCTTCCCCGAGGTCTTTTGATACCCAGTCGGTCCCGCTTACTACAAGCGGGTCGATTCTGATCTGGGCTTGTTTTGTTTGATTCTTTTGATCGTTTTTGGAAAAGGGGGGGGTCTGATTGGAAATATCCCCTGTTCGATGGGAAGACGTGTCTTTCCTCTGGAATGGCTTGTGCCGCGGGCCCGTTTTTCCATGTCCTATCGCTTTTGATCTTCCTGTTCGTAATATACGGCTGATGTTCGCGTCATGTCACCTATAATGTTTGAGAACGTTGCCATGAGAGATTCGAGCTCCTTGATATGCGATACGTTATGATGTCGAGCATGCTATGGCAAATGTATAATAAGTCTTCTTCTCACAAACTTTATTCTCCTTGTACTCCTAAATACAGTAGTCTAAATTGGTCCTGACATTGTGTTATCGGTAAATTCCCATTAAAACCATTTATGCACTATATGCGCGAGACTGAGCCAACACTTCCTGTAGATCCTTTACTCGTCCATGACGCTGGATGTCCGCACTAAGCCCCTGGAAAAGCTCCATTTTGAGAGATTCGATTTGATCCCGGATCGCATCATTTGCTGTATTAGGAAACCAAGTTTATAATCAGTAAGAAATTATCAATATCCATAATGTATATAAAGCGGACCATACCAAATATCCCCCAGCCACTACCTGTTTACAGGCTTTACAGTTCTGCTGTTCAATCGAAGGCTGTTTTTGGAAGGCTTCCAAAGACTCGTATAATAAGAACTGGCAGCCACAGCAGATAAAAACCGTGTTTGGCATATTAAAGATTAGGTCGATAAAAAAAGGGTAGACAGATAGATGAAATGATCGAACAACTGGATAGGAAAAAGAGGAGTAATCCATCACAAGTCGAAATCTGGTGATCTGCGGTGTGGCGGCGATGCTGCTCGAAAGCAGCGTCCTCACCAAGCTGCTGCTGGAAGTCAGTTTCCAAGGTATTGACAGTGCGTTCAGACACCAATCTATTCGCTTGCATATCTGTTGATAGTGCGACCCCAGGATCCAACCAACCACCGGGCGGCGTCCGTGGAGGTGATTACGCGACAGACAAAGCCTGTCGTTCTTCACAGGATGGTTAGAGTCTCTACAAAGACCGACATGTCCTAGTTTTTCATTCTGATGTAGCAGAGACGTATGTATAGGCTGTGAGCCGAGATGGCTGACAGCTGTTCATCGTAAAAAGACCAGTGACATGCATGGATCCTGTTCATTGTTCCATACATACATGAGCAACATTGATACATCCACTCCGTCCCTAGTACTCCGTGCTCCGCACACCATTTGCCTTCTCGATCGCTAATCGATCGAAAAGTATGACGCTGACTACCATCGAGCCATTTTTTCCCCGATAGCTTATCCCTTCAACCCTCTCCACATCGATTCCAAAAAAAAAGCTAAAACAAACCTTCAGCTAACATCCAACCACCCTGCCACGATTCATATCACACACTTTGACCTTTCAACTAACTTCATATTCAATTCTCCCCCATCCTCTTTTCCACCCCCTCCTCCATCGCTGCATCGTACTTCCGTCCTCCGCAAAACGCGGCTGGAGGTATCTTCCCGGCTTTCTCAAAAGGGTAATTGATTGCGACTCGCCTACCCCTGGCCATTCAGCGGTACGAGCGGGTCCCGGCAGGACGGATCAGTGGGGCTGGGACTAGGTTTAGTTTGTTCAGAAGTACCTGGTTGTTTTGAATTACATACGCTGTACGGAGTACATTACTCTCATGGTATGTATGGGAGGTATGGACGAGGGTCAACCCTGTGTAATTTTGAGATCAAGGCAGAAGAATGAGAGTTGATAACCCCCGTCCATCGTTCATCAGGATATAAGGATCATCAATTCAACGTATTCGAAAGCCTATAGATAGCCGTGCTGAATACTCAATATCAATAGTTAAAGCTTCACAGGTTGACTTCTCCACAAGCTTCGCTGTTGCCCTCGAGCTCCCGCCACACGCACGGGTAATCTTCATAGTCGCCAGTTCCCTGTCCCTTGGTCCTAACAGGTGGATGGGAAATGAGTTCAGCTGCCCCGTGCTTTTGCCGTCTCCGCTTTGAATGCCTCAAAAGTACCATATCTGGGGGTCCAGACGGGGTCTATTGTACGGCATGACGGCCTGCCCAGGAGGCAGACTTGCCTTGTTGTGACATGCTTCCCACGAAGACTTACTACTCCACGTAGGTTGACGCTTAGGACCTGCGTTGTCTGATATACAAAAGATCGGCAATGGGCGCGTTCACGGGTAGATACCCATTATCACTTCATACGAATATGCAGTAAGCAACACATTATACGAGTATAAGCCCACAGTCTTGATGTACCAAGTTCACCCACTACCAAGAGTTCGTAACAATCCCAACAGGCATGCCCAGAACCGAGGACGTACTACAATAATCACCTTCAATATATTGTAGACCCGACTCTCTGGCTCCGCCAGTTTCACATCCGTCATAGAAGCCCTAATGTCGCCTCGATAGCGGAGAAGAACGAAGGTCCCCAAAGTGTAACGACGCAACGCAACACCCCCGCAGCATCCCATCAATCCACAACCGAAACGCAACGCATTCGAGGAACAATACCATTGACAACCTCCAGTACCCCTGCGAAAATGCACATCAGCCAATGCATGACAACCATCCCGGTTGCTTTTCCTGCACCTGGTGCATATCTCAAAATGATTTATCCCTCTTGTTCATACAAGTGGGGGGATGTTGGGTATCAATCGTTTATTCTACCAGGAAAATTTCTTTCCTCTTGGACCCGGCGTAGGGCGGGGGTGCCAAAAATTGGCCCAAGCGTGAGACCGTTGAATCCCTCGGGCGCGGGGGCGAATGGTTATCTGTGCTGATTTACTGTTCTCGAGGAAACCTGACAGAAAGACGGTGACAACGGTCATGCATGGTAGGGGTAAGACCGCATAGGCTTTCTCGTTGGTTGCTTTACTGCAGAGTGTCGGTTACGACAGAATTGAACACCAATGATGATGAATAGAAAAGATTGAATTGAATATATTGTACACAATTATCGGTGAGTCTTCGCGTGGATTTCCCGCTAAGGACTGACGTCGCACATCACGGCCGTTGCTAGTTGCTTGAGACTGTCTTGAGGTTGCATCAGGAGTCTCTCTACGGTGAGATGAGACTACATGAGACTACTCAGCACGTCCAAGTGTGGGAGACATCCTAAATGAAATAACTCAAATCTCCAGACGGAGATAGTTAAAAAGATAAATACTGGACAGTCTGGTCAAAGAACGAACCAACTTCCCGAGAGCCTGATAGAGCCCAGGCCAGGCCGTAAATCGGTAAAGCAAAAGAAACCCAAAGGAACGCCAACCCCATGCTCTCCGGGCATGAACCGATGCAGATAATAGATAGGAAACAGAAAGATAAGCCAGAGGGCTTCCCAGAACAAAGCCCAGCGGGAAAACAAAAAGAAAAGAAATGGTGGTGGTGCTCAAAGAGAGACAAATTGACGTAGATCAAGACGCGATAGATAAACCGCAGGATAAGAATGGCACAAGGAAAGTGCAAAAGATCCAAAATGAAGGAAATGGTATCTCGAAAAATATTGGATATCGATGTTGTCAATTGACGGGCAATGCTTTTTTTTCTGTTTGGTTGGCAATGACTTCAACACACACGCTAAATCGCTAAAAGACGGCCGAGAGAAATTTCAAAAAGGGGATTGGTGTGATCGTTTCTACACTCGAATCCGAGAGGACCGAAATGCAGACAGATCGATGGATTCGGCCGATATCGAAGAGGCGTCGTCGACTTCGATGGTGCCGGGCGCAGTCGTTGTCGGCTTGCTCGCTGTGATGGCGGCCAATCGAGCGAGTCGCGCAGCAGTCGGGGTTAGTGGTGGTTTCGCGGGCGCGTCCTCTTCGACCGATTCAGATTGCGCGTCCGACTGCGTTTTGGCTTCTTCTTCTTCCCGTTGCTTCTTTTCGTCCTCGAGGCGCTTGACTTCGTTGGTGGCCATTTCCAGTAGCATATGGAACTTCTCCTCCACGCCGTCCAGCTCGGTACCGCAGTCACCGGATCGGAGGACCTGGTATGCGGCAGTCTCGCAGAGTCCGTGGGCTAGCTCTAGCTGCTTATCGGCAAAGTCAAATGGAGATTCCTTACGGATGCCCGAAGAACCAGTCACACCGACGACGCCGCCGCCGGTCCTCGTGCTGCGAACATAAGACAGTGCCGACAACGGCGACCCGCTTTCACCAGACTGGCCACCACCCACAGAAGTCTTGTTGAGTAGAGCTGACCGAAGACCTCCATGGGGCATCATACCCATCTTTCCCCGTCGGATATTGTTCCTGGCAATTCCAATGTCTCGGACAATCTCCTCAAGGGCCTTTTGCGTGTGGCCATCGTACTCGATAATCACATTATGTCGGATGCTGACGAAGGCGTATCGTTCACTGGAGTCGATAGACGGAGCCTCGTCCGTGCCGCGCTTACGTCCAGCGGTTTGCACCGGCACGGACGCATCCTTTTCAGATGTCGTGGTTGGAGTCGCTTCGATGGCTTCCGAGGTCGGGCCCTGGCGTTGTGCGATCGGGACGAGGTCATCCGTGTGAATGGAGCATACAGAGCTGTTTCTTCGGCGCCGGGGTTTGTATGAGGTATGTCGGCGGTATGCCGCGGTGTATTCGGCATGTTTGGCAGAGGTGTGCGCAGCCAGTTCCGAAACTCGAGAAATCCAAGAGGGCAGGTTGTTTTGCAGGTGGGTGAAGGCTCCCAGAGCATCCATGGATGCCAAAGTCATGTCCTCTACCTTTCGCGTGCTTAGTCCAATAGATTCTTAGGGTTCAGCGAGAAAAAGTCGGCAGGACCGAGAGACCGAGGGCGTGTATGAAGTCGGACAGGTGTTCAGTATAACGCGGGCAGTGTGAGTATCGGGGGGTCTGCTTCGTCTCCGTCGTTCCGTCGTGAGTTTCGGACCCGCTTCTCGAATGTTTGGGGGGGTTGTAGTGGGAAAAATGGGCGGTTAGTCGTGGTTCAGGAAGGGCGCAGACTTATAAATTGTGCGTCCACCGAATTCCAATAGCGTGCGATGAAAATCGAGTCGAATCAAGAGCCGACAAAGGTCAAGATGGCTGTCTGGGGAGGGGTTGAGGAAAGAAAACGGCCGAAAAGATGGGGAAGAAGGATCGAGAAAAGAATGCAGAGGGGGGGAACGGGAGTGGGCGTATCGTCACGGTACGGTCGGTACTTTTGTCACGGAATTGTATAGTAGCGGGCGGTTTCGGTATGGAAACACGGCCGAGGCCCCTACCAAAACATGATGCACCGTCTTAATTCTCGGTCGTTAACTATGACTAGCGTGACGCAGAGGATCCTCTCATTATCCCCCTACCGCAGGGCTAGTTTCAACGGAGGAATAATAGGAGTATATCATAGGGACGGAGTAATCACCACGCTGTTGGTGGATGTGCTACTGTCAATACTACTGTCGGCTGATCCGCTAGACGTACGCCAGTCATCCAAACCTCCTTGACGGTCCACAACTCCTAGACAAGGATATCAAGGCCAACTGCAGTGCCTTGGCCTACAGATTGTACAACTGTAGCAGAATAATTGGCCTTATACGGACCAGGGTTCCCATCTCCAAAGGCTTGCGATGACCGTGCTATGTAAACCTCCGCAAGGAGCGGTGAGACGACAGTCCATGCAGCTCTTGCTTGACACAATTCCGACGATGGGAAAAGGAGCGCTGTCAAACGCGGGAAAGAGGTAAACACCCGTTCTCCTTGTTGTGATGGGGGCATCTCCTGACCCAGATCGAGTCATCGAGATTCCATAGTACCATGGTCCGTTGACCCTTGGGGAAAAAAGGAAACATAGGGAGTTAGACCAAGCCCCATTATCGTATTGTGATTCTTCCCGACCGTTCATTCCTCACCCTCGCTAAGCCCCATCAAGTTGGACGGTTGGTGGGCAGATCGCTGCGACACCAAGAAGATTAATTCGGAAGCCCAGCAGTGGCACGGCTGTCGTGCAGTCGCTCTTTGACTAGCAAGACTTGGGATAATCCTAGGATGGGGCTCGAACTGGAGCGGAAATCAGACCATGGAAAGTGGGGACCTTTCCTAAGAAGGACTTGACACGTAACGGTCGTTGGCCTGTCAAATTGTCACTTTGAATAACCAAATAGGCTTATATACGGAAGTGCCAACGGGGAGTCGGGGATTGTGGGACCTAGCAGGAAAAGCCCGATCGGCCCCTCTGATTACCTCCTTTGGTGAATTTTTGATTCGTTGGTCAGATCATATTTGGGACAGACGTGTGCAACAAAGGGCTTTGCTTATTTGGTATGGAATATGGATCCCCGTGCCGGACGATCCCCTCGACGCGGAAGACGGGGAGAGGCCGTGGGTTGGACGACGGGTGGCCCCGTCACATCGATCAGAACGTCTGATTCGCTGATCGGGATGGATCGAAGGTTCTTCCCAAAAAGCGTGGCTTGTTAGGTATCGTAACCGCGCTTTGGGCGGGGCACCTCATCCTGCCCTGTCCGTTGGGGGCCAGGCCTTCACGTCCAAGGAGATGAAAAAGCGCTGGCAACTATGCAGAAGAGAGTACTAGGTGGTCAGTCAGTTCATGGAAAATCCTTGTCTTATCGCTTTCCCTGAGAGTCTTGGATATCGTTGCGGAACGATGGACGCGCCCGTGCAGCGTGATTTTGATTCGGACTGGACCTTGACAGTCTTGATCTAATTGGGAAACGGAGGATACCCTTCGGAGTGGAGGACTTGAAAACGGAGAAGAACCGTTGAAGAAGCTGCAATGCAGTCAAGAATGGTCTGCGCAATTCGCACGCGCATCAACTTCACGTGATGCCCAAAGCCCTCGATGGCTGATTAGGCAGGCCATCATCTCGCGTTCATTATACTGTTGCGGAAACGATCCAGAAAACCAACGAGAGTAACCCGGTGTTCTGGTATGGTTTGCTCATATCCCTAGTCTGCAGTAGATGTATAGCGTCTCAGAACTATGTAGGGTTGAGGGCATTCTCGAACTACCTAATTGCGACAAACCCGAAACCGTGCCGCATAGACGGCGGTGCCAGCGGTTATCCATCCGTGTTGTACAATCTTGCGGACGGATGTCAAGCGAGTTGTAGGAACTGCTCTCTTGTTGACGGTCTTGATCCAATTTTACAACCACATTTGCTGATCAACAAGCATCATCCAAGGCTTATACCGGTGTAGTATAGATGCCAAGCAGTGGTTTGTGTGATGGCCAAAAGCTGCCAATGGCATATCGTAATTGGGACTGCCCCTTTCCTTGAGATATGACAGGTTTGAAATTGAGACAGCTCCCTCAAGTCTGGCCGAATGCCCAAATGACCCTATCCTAGACTCGTACTGTTCAGGGTATCCAGGTGCTTGACACGATCCTTATCCAATGAGGTTGCATAATTCCACGCGTTCGGGTTTTACGATTCCAAACATGCCTGATAATGATAGTTGCATTACTCTATTGTCAAAGCTTGCCGCGACGCATGCATGAACTAAAACACTCGGCGACAACATAACGTTGAAACCCTATTTCATAACCTCAGAGTACGCCTCGATGATATAGATTTAGATCGTCTGGAGAAGGGTTTGCAGGCTCACGGTCTTGTCATCGTCTTTGGAGTCAACAATCAGCCTTTGTAGAGGGCGTGCAATTGGCCAAAATTCTCACCTGGAAATGACCAGACTTGATATCATGAGTTCCTAGCTGTACTATATTCACCGGCATGAGCTATCATTCTGGGTTAGGATAGTGGCGGAAGGTACATCGACAATTGTAACAAGCTCTAGATATACACTACTAGCTGTAACCGTCTATTTGATATATGCAAGGTACGTGCTTAGTCGAACTTTGATATGATCAATTCGCTGTCTTGTAGATTGGTGCTAACAGCGGCAATAGGCATGACTGCAATCTGGTAAGCTGTCTTGAGCATCGCACTGTAACTGGCGAGCGTCGAATCAAAGTTATATCTGGAAGCACTAGCCCCAATCACAAGATAAATCATTTGCATTGCTATCCATTGCTCACCTCTCAGATTATACAAATACTACCGCAACTTGAAAGAAAGGAGATCATGGGGACCCGGAAGGGCTTGAACGCAGAATAAGCTGATGTGAAACTAATCATTACGCGAACTAAAGCCGAAGTGAATATTGATGACCATTGGCAGAACTGGGAAATGAAACTGACTTGCTACAAGTCTCACAACCTATACACCCGTAGCTTTACACTGTAGCTTGCGAATGTTACCATATGACAAACGCTCGAACGGAACTAGAAACTACGCGAGCAAAATCTACTATGAGTCTTGGTGTTCGGCCACACAACGGAGTGCCATTGACTATCTACAGGGACAAGAAGTACGAGACCAGCTCAAGTACTCCCTTCCCCCCTTTCCCCTTTCCCCTTCCCCTCCTCTCCTCTTCTCCTCCCCCATCTACTTCTCCTCGCCGGCTTGTTGGGTAAGCCAAACCTCGAACCACCAGTCCGTCAGGTCCTTGACGGCCTTCCCAGCCTCCATGACCGCCTGGTGCGCAGCCAAGGAGGCCTGGTACTTGGCCTCAAAGTCCTGCAGCTTCTTGGCCATTTGCCGGAAGAAGCTGGTATTTAACGCCATCATGGTGGCGTTGTCTGCGGCCCGGGGTCGAGGAATTGGGCGGCTCGGCCGAGAAATCCTGAAGGGCGTCTGGGAACGCCTGCTGGGGCTGGCAGCAGGGTTCCGGGGGGTAGCCGCAGAGGATTCGGCGCCGGAGGCCGAAGTTATAGGTATACGGCCCTTGGCGTAGAGGTTAGTTTTGACTTGATTGAATGGGGAGTGAACAAGGGCTGAGTTGATACTAACCTGGTCACCCTCCAGGGCAGGCTCCTGTACTGAGGTGCCATACCTCATGGACAAGAGGATGTGTGCCGCGGTGATGTCGTCGATCGGTGCATCGACTTGGGCGGCGGCGGCCGGGACGTCTGGGACGTTGGCGGCATTGGCAGCGTCGGCGGCGACGGCGGGGGGAACAACGGCCTCGGAGACGGAAGGGAGGTCGACGCGGTGCCCGCACCGCTTCTTCCTTTTCCGGCACTCCGCGCACGCCGGCTTTCTTCTCTTCACCTCGGCCAGCGAGGCTTTGAAGAAGATAGACATCAGTATATGATTCAAGTAGGAGAGGGAGGCGGAAGAGAAGATGCTTGAAGTAGGTACTTACTGGAAACACCCTTTCTGGGGGCCATTCTGAAGCAAACAAGAATTGGGAGTCTCGTTTGTGGATAGAGGAGAGCGCGAGGAGGAAAGGCCGTAAATTGGAGTTGCTGAGGAGATATTTAAGTGTTTCCAGAGGGAGGCAGACGAGTCTACGGGCAGGGTGACTCGGTGCCTGCATGTGAATAGCCTCAAGGCCGCAGTGGTGGGATGGGTGAAAGTTGGGACAGGTGGTGCCTGATTTTTCAAGACTGAGGTGAATCATCATATCTAGGTCCCAAGATCTTGAGGCAGCGACAGGCAGAGCAAACATTGAAGGTAACCAGTAAATTTTCACTGAGAATGGAGAACAATCAAATTTCTTTCACAAGGCAGCAGGTGGAAAATGACAACTATGGCCATATCTCAATCTCTTCCCATTTCCCATCAGGCCCTAGCGTCCACTTCCGCCTGCGAACGTCATCCAAGTCCGTGAGATCTAATGACTCGACTTCCTCGGGCAGAATAAGAACAACTCTGAAATTCTCGCGCGCAATGGGGTCCTGAAGGTTGGTCACCTTCTGACCCAGCCTCAAGTCTGCATTGCTAGGCAGTTGAGACCTAGGCTGACCAGGAGGTGGGTTTCTGAAGGAGCCTGGTAAACTTGTTAGCTTGGTTCAGAAGAGAACACTAAAAACGAAGGCAGGCTGAAGGGGACTTGGTAGCAAGTGTTCAGGCTGCGGCAAGAAAGGAGGCTTCAAGAGCCAACCACCGGGACAAAAGGCAAACACGACGTACCTCGCATGACGGGCGAGTGATTCGCAAAATACTTGGTAATAGCCTTCTCCCACGTCCACTTATTCGCGTCACCACTAGACCCACCACGATAGTTTTCTTTGACCCGGAGAGCCTCGAATAATTCTGGCCGAAGACCAAACTCGCTTCCTGACTCCGGATCAGGGCTACCAATTGAATAGGCTTTGCCCTTGATCCTCCACTGCACCATTACCTCCTTCAGCCAGAACATGGCCTCGATGTAGTTGCCCGTCGATTCCAATTGATCCAGCTTTTCCATCCGCACATCCGTGGTAAATGTCAATATGTCACTTTCGAAGAGACCTGGATTTCCGCCACCCTCAACCTGTTGATCCATATCCTCCTGCCCGCTTGGATGAAGCTCCAGCTCTGGGAAGAAGCCGCGGAAACCGCAAGTTCGAACGCGAGGGACCGGGTTTCCTTTGGAATCATAGCCGACGGTTGCGATAGTGAAATCGTAGCTCTTGGTTTGCTCAAGGTGCGATTCAAGAAGCTTGCGCCAGGGGGCAGGGTTCTTGCTTATGGAAAGGCTCATGGTGGGGCGTGTTGACGGAGCTTGGGTGGGTTGAGTATTGGTGGCGCAAAATCGATGCTGGCAGCAGGTCTTGGGTATGCGGAATAGATGGGACTGAATCAGGCGAGTATTTAAGTGTCTGGGAGGAATTGATGATGGCATATGTATGCTATGATGAGGGCATAGCTCCCAACCAAGGTTTGAGCTGGAGACGCAACGTTGCAACCGAGGTTGCGAGGGGTTTGAATTAGAGACGGTCGAGATGATGGAAGGTAGCTGGCAGACCTGGAAGAGCGTGAGTGGTCAATCAACAGCGGTAAACGGCTTAAGTTGTGTAACTGACAAGAACGAGCTGTTGCTTGTCGTTGAGGTAAGCGGGCTCCTTCAATGGTGATTGCCCGCATCGATCGGTGACATCAGCCATCGAGGTGGCCCGTGCATTGATCTTATCTACCTTATCGCTGATCGAAGGATGGCCATTGTCAACACGAAAATTGGGAAGTCAGTGCCAAGTGGACAATTAGACAAAGGCTTCGTGGCATCTACGCATATTGCGAAGTCCGGTATCTGCAAGATAGTCTTCATTGGCACACGAAGTCTATACTCCAGTGTGGAGGCACGAGCACACAAGACAACTGACCTACCCCTTTCCTTGCTCACACTTGCTCTTAACCATGCGACCCTTCCACAGCTTTATGAGGCGAATGGCTCCAGGCCAAAGATGTTGCATTCAAAGAATCGATAAAAGCTATAAAATGCCGCACCGGCTCGCGCAATTGACCAAAGTTCGCCCACTATGTACAGCATCTGACCTCCCCTCCCAAATGCGTGGAGTCCCCCAAACTTGCCTGGACTCCAAATCACACCCACTAGGATGGCAGACTATCCAATCCCAAGTCGAACCCTACTTTGCACAAAACTGGAAATTTCCCAGCGAAAAGGCAAAACAGGGATTCCTCGCGGTAGGATTTTCACAAGCGTTCAGTCAATTTTTCCCACTTACGGTGAACGAACGGGTGGTGGGGACTTGTAAGATGCATTATCTGGCATTGCTGATTGATGGTGGGTTGAAAATGACGAAGCCGTCTCTATTCAAATACTGACAAAGTGTAGATCAACTGGAGAAGATGAGTTTGGCCGATATGTTGTCCTACCGCGAGCGAGTCGTACGCATTGCGCATGGTGAAGAAACACCAGATCGCGAGATTTGTATCGAGTGGATGCTGTCGGACACACTCCGGATCATCCGAGAAATTGATGAGATTCTCGGGAAGGATCTCATCGAGGCATTCTGCACGTTACTTCGAGCACAGACGGCCCAGGAACGTTTGACTATAGTACATTTGGCGCCCTACCTGGCAGCTCGTGAGGTAGACGTGGGAAGAACGTGAGTCTACCGTCCCAAGACCACTGAAATATGTTACCAGACTAAACGTAGACATCAGATTCTACGCCGCGCTCATCCGATACGGCGCCAAGCTTCATCTCAGCCCGGCTGAATTGGCCCAGACGGCCGCATTGGAAAGTCACGCATTCCGATTCATGGGCGTGCTGAATGATATATACAGTTGGGATCGTGAATGGAAAGTCTACCAAGAAGATCCCACAGATGGAGCTCGGCCTTTCTCGGCTGTTTACATTCTAGCCGAAGAGACGGGGTTGTCGTTTGCGGCTTGTAAGAGGTTGTTCTATTCTTACTGTCGGGAGTTAGAGCTCCTTCTAAAGCAGTCTGGCGAGGAGATTAAACGACAGAATGGCGATGCTCTGAGACCCGAGATGGAAATGTATATCAAAGCCTTGGAGTACCTGATGAGCGGGATCGAACAATGGAGTCAATGGACACCACGCTACAAATGATGAGAGAATCCAATGTGGTGAACAAAAAGGGAATTTTAACATAAATCTAACGCGTATGCACATGGAATAAACATCTACTCGAAATATCTTCCAAATCAACTATCGCTCGACGCAGTGCCGTTCCCTTCGGTCTGCTCCGTCTCCCGTTTCCCATTCGCCGTCTTAATACCCGACGCACCATAGACCGAGATGAATGCCATGCCGAGGAACGCGGAGACGCACGAGAACACCATCGCAACGATACCTTTAGTCGTAAATCCAGCAGGCAGCCAGTTGAGCTGCTTGTTCTGGCCCGACAGATCAAGATAATCTTCCGTGTTACCCGCGGCGTTACCCTTATAATTGACGCCCGCTGCATCACAAACATCGTAGTGATTCTGCGGGATGGTCAATTGCTCCTGTAGCTGCAGAGGTGCCTCGACGAAGGTCATCGCTAGTCCTTGCTGCAGATGCCAGTCGATATGGCAGTGGAACAACCAGACACCAGGGTTATCGGCGACGAAGCGCACGACGAAGTAACCCTGCGGCGGAAGCACGAGTGTGTCGCGACGAGCTGGGTACTTGGGGAAGGCGGTGTGGTTGTTCGGGTCGTAGGTGAGCGGGTCGCCATCGGCGTAGTCGTAGAAGTGTTTACCATATGAAGGAGCGCGATCGAGCATCTGGAAGTTGTGTCCGTGGAAATGGAAGGGATGCGAGCCTCCGTCACCGTTGTTGAGGATGATATCAACGACTTGGTTGTGCTCTAGGACCACGGAGTGGGTGAAGTCGCCATATACTTCGACATCGGTGGAGAGATTGCCGGCGGACAAGACTGTATACAGGGTGGGGACCTTGGGTTTGGTGTAGGAGATGTCGTTCAGGAAAGCGTAGCCGGCGCCGTTGTCAAGATTCATCATAGAGACCGTGAGATCGAGGACGAGGTCGGCCTCGGGGAGAATTTCCATGTGATCATAGGGCACGAGACTCATGTCATCGAATGGTTCAAGATCAGATGCAGTCTCTACTGTGATAGTGGCCTGTGGATGATCGGCGTTTTTGTTATATTCAAGCCAATTCGTGTGGTTCAGCTGTAGATTCGAGGGGATGGTGTCTAGCAGCTCCGAATCTGCCACGGTCACAATGGGGTAGTTCTTTTCTGTCGAGTTCTTGGCCGTTACAAGAATAGCATATCGCTGTGCAACCGCAATGTAGAGAATGTCCGCTTCGGTGGGATCCGTATATACACCGTCAATTTCGACAATCTTGAACGTGTGATCTTCGATATAGAAATACTGCGCAACGAATGCACCCACATTGGCGAGCCGCAGCAGATACGTCTTGCCCGGCTCCACCGAGAGGCTGGTGTTCAGAGTGTCGTTGAACAGGAAGGCATTAGGAACAGGTTCGGCGCCGGTTGGGTTGGTCTTGTCGATAAATTTAATGTCTTCTACCATTTCATGGTACCAGTCACTCATAGTAATGGTATACTCCTCATCATACATATCGTTGAAGTAAGAGCTATTGTCGTGCACGATCAATGCTTGGCGATAGCCATCCGGGTAGCAATAATCGGTATGGCAATGGTACCAGTAGGTTCCGTTCTGGTTAACCGTGAAGTTATAGGTGATCGAAGCACCCGGCACGACAGGGCATTGGGTCACCATGGACGGGCCGTCCATATCGTTGGTGCCGTTTTGGAACATGCCATGGAAATGAATAGACGTGCTGTGCGTGCCCAGGCCATTGTACATGTTCACAACGAGCTGGTCGCCCTTGTCTACTTCAATCACTGGCAAAGGCCACTGGTCGTTGATGCCGACGACCTTTCGATCGTATAGGCCATCCGGGTTGGCGGTGACCCAAGTCACATTGAAATCATAGGTGACGGTCTTGGCTTGGACGTACTGGAAGAGACACAGTGCCGCCACGAGGCGCACCAAAAGGCCACCTACTGAAGTCACCATGGCGATGGAGAATTCAGAACCCGTGTCTGCGGCACTGGGGGAGAAGTAATGAAGGCGACGGAGGGGACGGGGAAGAAGAGAAGAGAGACTAAAAGCGCACTATGTGAAGCTGGAGCTTGAACCACTTTTCCCACGCCGGTCCGTGACTAACGCCAACCCCGATGGGTTTTCGCACAACCGGACAAAAGTGGCCATGATAAGATTATCGATCTTGCCGTGGCAGGCGCAGAGTTTCGGGCGTGGGGCGGCGTAAAATCAGAACCATCTGTTGTTTTTTTACAAAAAAACAGTGTGCAAGAACTGCAAATTCCACAGCGAGTCGGTGGGCTCGCTCGGACCCCTTGGATGGCTTGCGAGGGTGAGCCAAGGAGAATTGAGGAGGTGGGCCCATTGTACCAGTCTCGTTCTTTGCTTCTTCTTTTGCTGTTTGTTCTCGTATGCACCCACGTGCCCCATCATCGGGTCCAGGATTCAGCTGGGCAGTGTGGACCGCGGGGGAACATGCCCAGAAGACCCTGAGGCCTTGGCAAGGAGCTTAGTGTTGGAACTGCATAAGGGCGTCCTTGGTGGTTCATCTTTTGGGCAGAAATGCACATCACGTTCGGGTTCATGTTTGTGTGCGTATCTGATTGATTTGATTGATTAGCCGAGGCGGCCGAAACACAAATACAGTGGCTTGCATTCCAGACGATAATCTGATGCTCGTTGGGGAGTCGATTGGCGGGCGCAAGAGGTGGAAATGGAGAAAAAATAAAAAAAACCCTGGGACGAATGCGACGGTTCCGCCAATCAGACGGTCGGAGTGACCTCACCACCAAGCTTTGCTAAGCATGGCGCTACTAGCGCGCAATTTCAGGCGTTGGATTTGGGCAAATTAAACGATTTAGCTTATACGGGTTGCTTACGTGGAAATTTACCATTTTGCAAAATACAACTTTTCAAGGAGGGGGAAAAAAACCATTAAGGAAGATTGTGGGAAATTGAAGTTCGGCTGACAATCGCCATCTGCCCTGCTACTTGGAGGTCATGTGCTTTCTATACTTCTTGGGTATCGAAAATATTCACCGCTAAATCTATATCACAATATGCAGGTACAAGATGCAAAGAAATAAATGGAAACTTTTTGGCACCGTCAACCACGGACTAAAGCGAAGGGTGTCGCGCAACCGTCGACACCCCAGTCTCGGCACCCTTCTCAGTCTGTAGCACACCCGCTTCCAGGTTCGCACCGCTCGCATGGACAGGGCCAGCAGTGGTGGGTTCATCCGAGTAGGGCCGATCCCATGCAGTGCGGAACACAAATGCCTTTGCCCGGCCTTTAGCCTGAGCAAACTTCTTCGCGGCCGGGTCCAGGTAAGGCAAGGGTCCATTACGCTCCCGCCACATCATCAATCCATAGCCGACCATCACACAGATCCAGTAGAAGTTGTAAGCAAGGACCGACCCCACAGTGGCCGAGTTGGTCCAGCCGAACAGAGCGTTGAAGATACCCCAGCCACCGCCGCCGCCAATGAGAGGGTTGCAGCAGTTGACATGCCACACGCTCTGGCTGATGTCGTACGATCCTGCGCCCGAGCCTACCTCCGCGGTGTCGCTGCCGACCGCGTGGTTCCAGGTGTTGTTCTCAAAGTACCACACACCGCGCGAGAAGAGACCGCCGGCGACTAGGTAGAGGAAGCAGGTTGAGATGATGAGGAAGATTTGCATAGATGTCTCTCGTCCACCGCTGATTAGAGAGAGATGTGTTAGCGTCTGCATGCCCATAATACTTGTGTGTAAGAGATCGTCTTACCGGTAGATGATATATCCAACAACAAATCCAGCGAGCAGACCGCAGAAGACGGCGAGAGGGATGGATGAAGCTGGCAGTCCCAGACCCACACCACCGACGTAGATGACGGCCTCGAGACCCTCGCGGAGCACGGTGATGAAGGGCAGCATGAACATCACATACTTCTCCGTCCAGCGCTTGAATCGGCCCTTGCGCGTCTCATTCGGGCTGTGTTCGTGCTCCAGAGCCTTTGCAAGCTTAACTCGCCACTTCTCCTGGAGCTTCGACACACGGAGCAGGGCCGCACCCATGATAGTGATAATGAGTGAGGCAAGGATTCCCAGCACACCTTCCCAGATATCCTCCGTAGCGGAGAAGGTATCTGTTCCCAAGCCATAAAAGGCACCGATCATACCGGCACCAACAGCCAGACATATCGCCAAACCTAATGCACATCCGAGCCAGACCTAGTGGCGGGGTTAGTCAGTGCATTCTTCAAGCTTGTTATGAAGGACTATCCCCGAGAAGACTTGCCTGTTTCACTAGCTTTTTATAGGTCTTCTTGTCCTGTTCGCCTCCCAGTGTTTGCTTCAAGAAGGCCAACAAGACCGAAACAACCACCGTGGTCTCGAGACATTCTCGGAAAATAATGAAGAAGACTGCACGGTCGCAATTGGGGTTAGTCAAAGTTGCCCTCTTTCTATTTCACCACCATGAGGATCTCATACCCGTGACGGCAAAGACTGGATTATTGCCCATGTTGAAACTGAAGATTGGGTTGATCAGCTCAATGTGCCCGCGGGAGAATATCCAGTCCGAGACCACGAAATGAAAAAAGAAGATCAACTGAAAGAAGGGGGAGGGCGCAAACTGATTGATAAGGGCCCGTGTGAGTTTGTTAGTCCCCGTCCAACCCGGCCGAACTGAAAATTACTAGCGCGATATGCTCAGGACTATGCCCCACCCCGTCCCGGTATCTGATCAAAGTCCGAGGATCCCTGCGTTGCATACTCGGTCTCGTGGGCAGCAACTCCACTCCCATAAACTCAATCGTCTACGAGTGTGGCCCAGTTGCACACACACTCGTGTCGTCTGCGAGGCTGACCTGGCTTAGTGTGGACTGGAAAATGCATGGTGGATACACAGGAAAAGCAAAGGTTGTGGGTGATTGCCGATCAACGATCAAGATCGTCAACAGCGGCTATTGAGCTGCAGCAACATCGTGTCAGACTATTTTCTTAGGTTGCAGAGACCGACGGAAAATAACGGGATGTGGACCATAGACAGGTGAAAAGTCAAATGATATCGCAGGGAGAAAATCCATTCATCATAGCCCCCGCAAGACCCGCGGGATAGCAGAAATCCAAGACTTTTGACAGTCCGAGTTTGTCCATTTGGACATCCATCCGATTACGGGGGTAGTTGATCGACTCCCTTATTGTACAAGGGATTCCGTATTCCATATGGTGCCACCTTTGGTCCTTCACTTTCTATATGGAGAGTCGTCTTCCGGAGTGGAACCACACCAATCGCTCCCCTGCTGTCCGCTTACGGTGGCCAATCCATTGCTACCTATCTTCTTAAGGAATTTGACTCATGGACTTTTCTATTAGCTTCTCTCGTCATTGAGCTCGTCCTCTCAATGAGGCGGACTAGATTATCTGATTGATATGATTGATATGATAGATATGATCAATAAAATTGCGCTGGTCCGAGGTTTGTTTGAAGGTTACGGTCCAAGTCTCGCTAGTAAACTCTATTTTACCGTTTGCGGGAATTTTGGGACTTTTTGGGGAAAGATTCGGCGAGGACCGTGCGAGGATGGCTTCGAGGACATAGTGAATAACATAAAGCGTAAACCCAACTGATCCTCTCTACGCTTGGGCTGAAATTTGTACTACCAACTACTACCATAATTCAAGTCTGACATCGATGGCAATGGGTACACGAATGTAAAAGTCTAGCTCTATGTTGATTATATCTATGTAGTTCTAATATTTTGCAGCCCGAACGGTTATTGACCTTCAGATAATGTGCTGGTAGATCCCTCCTCAATCGCTGCATCATTACCGTCCCGTGATCGATGCTCTTCCCAATAGCATTTCAGTGTAAAGACCACACTGAGAAGAATGCCCAACGCGCCAAGTCCCGTAGAAAAGTATAATGCGCCTCGGTAACCCTTCAGCACGTCCTGGGGCGTCTTTCCCCCATTGTTGACATGCACCTCCACGGTCCCCGCAAAGCCCAAGCTCAACGAGATACTATAATTGACAACAGTGGTCACCAGCGACGCCGCAATGCCCTGATGTTTCCGCTCCACGGAGTTTGACAACATCAGCGTCGCCGCCGGAAACGACATGTCCATTCCCCAAGGAATCACCAGCAGGCACACAAAGGTCAAAGCCCAATACGTCTGGTGCACAGGCGCGATTGCCGTGAAGATATTTCCAAGAGTAAAGGCCGTCATGGACATCACCATGATCCACCCAGGCCGGATTCGTGCAATCAGTAAGCCAGTCACGAAGCAGGCAATAATGCCTGCTGGCGCTGCAGGCACGAACTCGGCTGATGCTAATAGAGGGCTCGTGTGTCGATACTCCATTTGAAAGCGCCAGAAATACCAGATCCACGTTCCGAACGCACCCCATCCACACGCTACACAGCCCAAGACGAACGAGACGTCCCGACTGAAAGCGTGGAATGGGATCAGAGGGTGTTCTGCGAATCGAAACTCCACCACGAAAAATCCCGCGATCAGCAGTAATCCGATGATCAGCAACACATAAACGTATGGAGTACTCCAGCCTGCGACGGGAGCCTGGTTCCACGCAATATTGACCAGGATCAATCCACCGATACCGCAGAACGCGCCGGGAGCATCGAGCGCTTTGAACAGATTGGCCCAAGTACTCGTATCGGGCGAGAAATCATGGTGAATAGAAGGAACCACCAACAGACCCAGCCCAGCACATGCGACCGCAACGATAGACTGCATCCAAAACGTCCATGGCCACCACGCTAACTGCGAGAAGATTGCACTGAAAACTGCGCCCAGCACTGCACTATTCGGCGCCACGGCACCGAACAGCGCAAAAATCATCGCCTTCTTTTTACCCGGCGGGTAAGTTGCGCCCAAAATGGCCAGGCCGTTAGGTAACATCATCGCGGCGCCGATGCCTTGTAGCACACGCGCGAAAATAAACAAGACATGATTCGAGTATACACTGAAACCGGCGACGAGAGACCAGATAGCGATCCAAATAAAGCCCGACAGGAACATACGTCGATAGCCGAAGAGATCGCCGCATCGCCCAAAAATGAGGATGAATGTGCCGACGGTCAGTGAGTAGCCGGCCAGGAACCAGCTTAGAATGCCGGACTCGGTGACTCCGAAATTGTCGCCGAGAATGTCGAGATTTGATAGACAAACTCCGACGTTTGTTTGTGTCATGAATTGTGCCATGCAGACTACCGTGATGAAGAGGGCTTCACGGCATGGTGAGAATGTCTGGGCGATAGATGGCGCCGAAGATGCCCGCTTGAGGGTTGATTCGCCCTCCTCCATGACGAAGAACCTACAAATTGCCCCGTACAAACTTCGGGACTTCTAACGTGAAAGGAGTTCAAAGTATGAAGACAAGGCTCTGCGACAGAGCTTGATAGAAGTCTACCGCAAAAAGTGGAACTCGACATGGTGGAGTCTGCTGTCTGACAAACCGGCACGTCATCAGAATCAGATGCCGAGTAACAGTACAAGAACAGTGGCCCGATGGGAACGATATCCTCATACGGGCATTGCCTCCTGTTAAGAAATTTTCCGGCCTGTGAGAAGAGACTTTCGGCCTCGGGTTGTGGGTCGGGATTGGGCCGATCCTCTTGAGGAAGTCGTCGGTAAAGACCCGGGACGGGGTTTGAGATGTGTTTGGAGTATATGCACACCCCTTATTATGAGACGTAAGTATGGATTTCCTACTAGGTATGAGATTCGTTGTAAAGGACCTGATATGTAGTTCCTGGATCTTCGTATGTAGCTCCTTTCATGAACACGAGATGACCCGATGACCATGCCGAGTTGTCCAGGAGATGCTACCTGTCCCTGGCGATAGTAGCCGTCAGCCTCAGAAAAATCTCATGATGCTCGTCACTTCGTAATTAACTAGACAATTCAAGCGGTTTGGGCAAAAAGATTGAAGTGGGCAGAAGTCCCCCAGAATGGAATCATCAAGATGGGAAAAAAAGTAATGAGCACCGAGGGCGATTTGAACGCCCGACCCTAGGATCTGCAATCCCATACTCTAACCCCTGAGCTACCGGTGCTATTTTTAGAATTTCTTGTGAAATTTTGGATAATAACTGGATTAATTGAATTATCGCATCAAATCATCCTCACACCAGTACATAGACACAATAAATAAAACCAAACGACTTGTTTCTCCCACAATTTCACTGCCCCGGAATTTTACAACGGTTGACTAATTATCCTGACTGACAGTACGTTTTCAAGCATGGACATTAGCACATAACCCCACGCAATCTGTGCATTGGCATAGCTTCCATGCTCTCGAGGTAACATTCCTACTAAATACTATCTTATAGTCTCTTGACCCGCTGTTGGACGACAATATTTAATGCATATACAGACATACTCTGAATATCTTGGCATTACTTTGATCTGCTTTCAGTTACTTCGGGCCATTAATATTTAGTACTTCCGCATCTGTACGCCTTTCCGGATGACAGGAAGAACAATCAGCACCTCTCTTTCAATAGAGAATACTTTATAACAGATGACAGGAAACGTAAGCCAGCCCTCGTATATAATCTTAACCTTTGTTCAGCCCATGGTCCTAGTAGAGAGTCGATGATCAAGTGTTACTCGACAGTTAAATTTGTATTGGTGGATATGCGAGATGGATACGAGTTAAACTCAACAGTAGACGCTGACGTTTTCGGCCTTTTAGATCAAACTTTATCTAACTGAAGCCGCGGCCATCTGTTCAAGATAATAATAGACTGTATGGAAATAGTGTGGTGGACATCATCACCGGGTACCGATACAAGCTTTGAATTCTCTCACTTCCTTACAGTATGTTAGTCGAACAATGGCGATGACATAGTCACCTTTGCTCTAGGTAAACCATAGGCAATTCATGGCTTCACCTCATTTCACTGCTCTTTTTACACCTTCTCAAATTAGAGTTCCTACTTGTTCATCTGAGATATACACGTTGGTCACGATGACCAGGGATCAGGTGACTTTTATGGGCATGGGTTATCGCACCTTCCATTTTAGGGCATTTTCTTTCGTGATTTAGTCCTGATAGCGTTGCCGCCCATGACACAGAATGCGCTCCAGTGCTGAGCAAGCACGAGAGCTTTTCAACCCACACTTGACCATGATCCTACGCAGAGCTATACAAAAAGATCCGTAATTAGGGCATTAAAGTAGATACTAACATTTGGTCATTCAAATACAAGACTAGTCGTATTAAGCATAGACCCATTTGAAGATCAAAAAGTCACGTAATCTTTTTAAGATCATGAGCTATTATTTTTTGAGAAATAGACACAGAAGCACCGGTAGCTCAGGGGTTAGAGTATGGGATTGCAGATCCTAGGGTCGGGCGTTCAAATCGCCCTCGGTGCTCATTGCTTTTTGCAGGTTTTTTACATTTCCCAGCTATTCGTTTGGATTCTTTTCTCGTGTCCTTAAAAAAGGGCTCCATATGCAATACCAGAAATCATTACGCCTCTACGATACTAGAAATCAATTCCATATCATACTGCTGGGTCGAACAGAAGCAGTTGTAGCTGGGTGTAGCTATTCTTCCGTCTGGAGGGTTTAGTCGCTCTTTTGACTCTATCGTGTTACATAATCAACCAGCACCACGAGACCACATAGTTACAGATCTTACCAAGGAAATTGAATCAACTGGGACAAAACCTAGAGTCAGTTCCTCAAATAGCCCCTAGTGCCGACAGGATTTCCTGCAGAATTCTTGTACTAAGGATATTTTGATATCATGCCAGTGATGATTTTCATCACGTATTCAAAATAATGGTCCACTCATGAATTGATAAAACTCATCTGGTTCTAAAATAAGCGGTATAAAGTTGAACCCAGCGGCCTTCATAAAGGAATGCTAGGGCCATTTCTCACTTTGACTTCTTGAAGAAATTTGGGAATCTCAGCTACAACTTGTATTTCCCGCATCTGGTTGTTCAAAGTAGTTGTTCAAGGTCTTTTCGACCCTAAATTGTGTTATTTCCAAGTTCAAGAAATTCGAGCGAGGATATTACTTCTGTAGACCATTTTATTTCCCACTTCAATTGTACCTTTCTCTCTGACAAACGTGCAGGCCGACCATTTGATGGTCGAACTTGAATTAAAT